TTTATTATGATATTATAATATATTATATATATATATATTTTTACATTACATTAATTTAGAATTTTAATAATTAAAATTGAGTATTTTACTGCTTGATTTAACATTCCCAACATACATTCTGAAATGTATTTTGATTGAAATGATGATTTAAAAAGATGTATTTATTAATTGAAGATGTAATGAGAATTAAATTTTTTGATTTATATTATTCATTTAAATATATTAATTTATTTTTATTTTATTAATTTTTGTTTTATTTATTTATTCTTTAACTTTTATTTATTTCTTATTTATAGAAAATATTTTTTCATTTTGATTTATTTATTAAAAAAACAATTTCATCCCTCGTTATCCAATTAATAATACCCAAATATATTGTAATTATTCAATGCATTGCGCAGACTAACTTGCAAGGAAAACACACTGTATTTGGTCAGTTATTTGAGTAGACATTTACACACATATACAGTATATGCACTAGAAATGTGCCTCAAGTTTCTATCAGAAGTGCTTTAGTTCACATTTTATACGCATGGTCTTTCTCATTTGCTCTAGTAAAGAGATCCTCACCGACACTTATTCAAGCTCCGCAGAGTCTGTCTATAGAAAATACATACTGTTTATTTGGGAAATGTGGGTGAACTAATCCATTAAGCTTGGCCAGCACTTGCCGGAACGCTGTAGATCACGATGCCATGTTTCACTTCAGTGTCTGCAGGTCATCTTAGATGTTCTGATGTTTTTGTATCTTCTTCTCAAACACCAGGGGTGGAGAGGTCACTGACCTCATAAGAGAGAAGAGCTTCACGGTCAGTCAGTGGCTGGATATCTGCGTATACGTTTCGTTGTCTCAGATTTGAAGGTGGTTTAGTTAATAAAGCTTTACAGTCCATCTCAGAGGAACATTTTTACTCCGATGTTTCTCCCTAAAATTAAATAGACTCAGATGACGCAATTGTTGACATGCAGTAAGAGAAATAAAAATCTGAGCAAGCCACATGGAATGACTTAAATCTGAGAAATCTGTCTCCACTTGTCCTCCATTTAATCTCATTCCTGTCTTGAAGAAACAATTGAGACAATAAGAAGTTCATTTGTGATTTTTCTCTCGTACGAGACCGTCTCCTCTTAATGTGTTTCTGTGTGTTTTATTTGAGTATTAGAGAGAGACAGAGCTGAAACGGACAAGACTAGGAACAAAGGAAGCCAAAACTTTCCTTTAATCTGGATGTTTATAGCAGAGTGTTTGAGGAAAGTCCCCCGGCTTTGTTCTCAGCGCCGTGTTTCTTATTCTTGTTCCGTAGAGACTGATTAGAGGGCAGGAGATTCTGTTACCTGATGTCCTCCATGTGTCTTCTAACTGCTGCTTCAATGTTTTTCTAGGGAAGCACGTTGAGGAAGAGGAAGATGTATGAAGAGTTCCTCAGTAAGGTGTCTATACTTGGTAAGTAATGAGAGCTTTAGTAGAGTCCTGTCAAAAGATTTCGATCTGTAAAACCGTTTTAGAGTAAATTGTTGCATTAAACACAAATACCTTGTGTATTAAACATGGGAAAATCTAAATTGTGCAAACTGTCCGCAAAACTATTCTTATAAAAAATGTTGCATTAAATGCAACGCACATTTGCGTACGTTTTACAAGTCTCATTTGTTAAAGTGCCCCTATTATGCCATATGCCAGTCGCCTACAATAGGTTTACATGCATGCAAGGTCAAAAAACACTATAGTTTTCTCAAAATATGCATTTAATATCACCTCATTTTCCAACGATTCTCAAACGATTCATTCGAAGCAGTTCTAAGATTCAGTCTCTCTAAATCCCTCCTTTCAGTGAGCCTACTCTGCTTTGATTGGTCAGATGGCCCAATCTGTTGTGATTGGTCTACCGTGTACAGCACATGTCGGAAACGATATGCCCATAGTTTGGTATTTTGAACGCTCGATAGAAAATAATAAACATCTATTATTTATCATACTTACAGTTTGTGATTCAGTGGAGCCAGCTGGTCCAAATAAACTAGGTACTGAGCTGTCTTTCAAGAAGAAGCATTTTGTGAAACCTGCGTTGAACTCCCAGTCGTCAGTAAAATGACGGGAACATAAAAAAGATTGGTGTTGTACTGCTGTGATACAGTGGGGGAAAAAAAGAATTTTAACCACTGGTTATTTGCAGCCTCATCATTCGGAAGTGAAAATGAAATGAATTTACTTTCACAACGTAGGACAGCGTCTTCTTAACATGATGTTAACCACATGAACAATTCAACTTGTTCGCGGCCAGCCAATGTAGAGCATAGGTGGGCATTATGCAAATGTGTTACCCGTCGAATTACTAATGACTCGTTTAGGGGTTTCAGAGTCGATTCTTCATTTTGGGAGACAGTAACTTTATTTATCGTGCACTTTTGGCTTTACAACTTTGCAGATCATCTACATTCACGTACAGCTACAATACACACTGCATGAAGAGCAATATTTGAAATGGCATAATAGGGTCCCTTTAACATTAGTTAATGCATTTGCTAAAGTTAACTATCAATTAGCAATATATTTTTTACAGCATGTATTAATCTTTGTTAATGTTAGGTAATAAACATATCCTTCATTGTTTGTTTGTTAATTCACACTGTACAGTAGCTAAGTACTATTAGATACAATACAATTATAGGTACTATTCATTGTTAGGTAATGTTAACTAGTTGTTAGTTAATGTTAACTAGTTAATGTAGTTGACTGGTACAAGAAATGAAATCTTATTGTAAAGTGTCAACTTATATTTTTATAAATTATTGTTTAAGAACAATAATTATTAATTATTAGCCCTAACTTATTAATTAAACAGGAGAATAATGACATTCTGTGTACAACATTTGAAAAACTTTCCTGTGTAAATCAATGCCTCCATGTAAACAAACCCAGGCAAAATGAATTTCAGTGTAAATTGTTCTTAAAAACATTCATATGTAAATATTTTTTTTATTAATAAAAGCATTGGTTTATGCTTGATTTACACATAAATTAGTTCTTCTCATGTTTTATAAATGAGGCCTGTTGAGTTTAAATAATCGGAAAACTTCTAGTACACTGAAAAAAGTTGTTGTACAATATTCTCTTAGAAATTGATAGTAAATTTCATAAACAATTGCAAAGAAACGGCAAGTATCACATTAAATTAAACATGAAACTTTGGAGTAGAAAAGGTAAAATAGTGTTTTTTTTTGTAAAACGTACAGTACACCAATAATCTTTGCTTTATTTACAACTTCAAAAAAATATATTTTTTACAGTGTATGCAGGTGTACACCATTAAAAATAAATTTGGAGAACAGTTTTAATTTCCACAACATTTTATTCTCTGTTTCTTTAGAAAACCATAATGTGCTGGTGCTTTAAATAACTCTGAATTCAAAAACACTGGTCAGAAGAACCTATAAATGAACATTTAACAACCTTTCGTTTTTTTAACTTCAAAACATGGCAACTCAAGAACCAAATATGTTGCCAAAAAGTGGTTCTTTAGAAGCTGAAGGTTGTACACTTTTAAAAAGTTCTTTATTAGCATCTGTGGTTCCCTGAAGAACCTTTAACATCCAATTTAACTTTCATTGCACAAAAGGTTCTTTATAGTGGAAGAAGGTTCTTTAGATTATTAAAATGTTCTTTACACTAAGAAAAAGAACTGTTGACTGAAAGGTTTTTTGGGGTATCATAAATGGTTCTTCTATGGCATCGCAGCAGAAACCCCCAAATTGGAACCTTAATTTTTAAGAGTGTATGCCGAATTTGAAGAACCCTCTATACTAACCTGAAGAACCCTTATTTCTAAGTGCGTAGCCTTGATTGATAGACAAAGCTGCGGCACGCAATGCCAGTTCTACCCTGACTTCCAGTGGTTTTGCATGGTGAGAAAGACAAAGAGGAGCGAGAGAGATGAACATTAAGATGGTCAGTTCTGCGGTGACCCCTTGTCCTTCAGCACCCTGAGGTCACTCGTCGTTCTAAATGGGGTTATTAAATGGCTGAACAAACACACTCCTCCTCTCGGTTTCCTCTGTTTTTCTTTCTCTCTGTGTGCTCCGTTTCACAGCCCTGTCACGGCCTGTCTTCAAACGCCCAGCTCTCTCGCTCTCCAAACCTCTTTTCTTCGCTCGTCTTCTCGCCTTTGAGGGGGGCATGTTTTCGTTTGCGCAAGATTTCTTTGAGATTGTGGTGAAATCGGCACTGTTTCGTGAAGTCTTGGAGTGTTTTACGATGGTTTGTGAGGTCTTGACACTTGTGAGTTCTTGCGCAAAATATATTTAATATTATTAAATATGGTCTTGTCTTCATTAAAAACAGGAACAATAAGCAATAATAAGCAAATATTTATTTATATTGTCATATCGGAGCATGTAAATAAAACATAATAATGAAATATTATATATATTTATAAAATATTATTAAATAAAAACTCATTTCTTTTTGTCTTCATTTAAAAAAATGTGTGGAAAACACCTTGATTATTGATTTTTAAATTATTTTTAACGTATTGAAATGGAAAAAAAACTTTAAAATATTAAGATATGTATTGAATCACAAAAATGTTTAATGTTTATTGTCACATTGGTACATATAGATACAAACTGAATAATTAAACATTATATATAAATATATTTAATATTATTAAATATTACATAAAAATTTATATTCGGTCTTGTTCTCATTTTAAAAAAAGCAATGATAAGCAAATATATATTTTTATTTATTATATAAAAATTATTTTCTTTTTGCATTCATTGTGTATTTTTGTATATTACGCTACAATACCCTAAAAGAGTAAGGTGCTAACATAGACACCCACATACACACTTTTTTTCTTAGTTGAAGCATACGACGTTGATTTTTCCCTCACTAACAGCTCATGTTACGACTGAAGCAGGTGGATGTCTGCCCAGGCGTGAGGATGTCTTAGCCAGCCTGATAAAGTGACCATTAGTCTGGGGCATGCAGACAGACCGGCCCCAACACACAAACACACACCTCAGCCTCACACAACAGCCCCCTTTTAACTTAATAGTTAACACTATTATGAGCTCTGATCTGAGAATGATTGTACGCTACTGTCCTGCATTGGGATGATGGGAAATGCACTGTGATGGGATGATGGGAAATGAAGAATGACAGAGCGAGCAAACAGTGAAAGGCAGAGGCGTTCATTATTGTTTGCAGCTGGAGGATGGAGCGGCGCTGCAGAAGTCCAGAGGGTTTTAGTGTGGTCGTGTTCGTGTGTGGTACGCCTGTGTGATGGATGCTGGAAGGTGGGAAGGGTTTGTGGAATGTGGTGGGCTTTGAATGATGGCTTGGGCGGTTTCTTTTCTCATGGCGACGGCTTCAGTAGCCCACGAGCACTTCAATAGTCCACTTCTAGGTCGAGATGCAGTCCTCACATTCTGCAGGAAGTTCATGACAAGCCTTGGTGTCTTTCTGATTAGTCGGTTTATTTATAAAAGCATTAGTCGGAGTCTCTGATGACACACCCACTGCTCACTCATGGACCACCGGATGCTCGTTGCACACAAAAAAAGCAAAGCTTTCAATGGTCTCTAAAAATATATCTGTCTGTGGCTGCTTGTTACTTTTGGTTAGATGGATATTCAACAACTTTTCTTTATAACTTCTATGCCTTTTATTTCAGTGCATTGCTGCTTTGTTGCACCATGATGTTATCATAGTATTATCAGATTTATAACATCTAGAGGTGTTACGATTCACTTGTTTTCCCGATGCATTGATCACAAATGCTGCTGATCCATACATTTTTGGATCGTGAGTTATTTGCTTCGGTCAAGAATTGATTTAAAATGCTAAAAATCGAACGAGTTGCGATTTGGGAAAGTATTATTCAATATTTTTAAATATATAAATAATTTACTTGATTTATGTAGCACACTATCATTTGCGTCCTCATGCACATACCATTGATAAAGTGGCCAAATTATTGCATGGCTACTACTACTGAAATAAAACGCTTTATTTTTATTGTCATATTGGTGCATGTAAATAAAACTTTAGTTAAATATTATATATAAATATATTTAATATTTTTTTAAAATATTTTTTGTCTTCGTTAAAACAAAAACTATGTAGAAAACATACCTTGATTATTCATTTAAAAATTATTTTGAATGTATGATTTTTATTTGCGTGAAAAATCACAGCTTTTTTTCAATAAGATAAAAAAAATATATATATATATTATTTTATTTTATTTTATTTATTTATTTATTTTTTTACAAAATGGGATCCGGAATACTTAGGTTTTCTCAGCACTAAAGTATTTTATCAGCTCATTGCACTCTGTTATATTCTAAGTAACATGTTTCAAACAGTGAAAGGCAGAGGCGTTCATTATTGTTTGCAGCTGGAGGATGGAGCGGCGCTGCAGAAGTCCAGAGGGTTTTAGTGTGGTCGTGTTCGTGTGTGGTACGCCTGTGTGATGGATGCTGGAAGGTGGGAAGGGTTTGTGGAATGTGGTGGGCTTTGAATGATGGCTTGGGCGGTTTCTTTTCTCATGGCGACGGCTTCAGTAGCCCACGAGCACTTCAATAGTCCACTTCTAGGTCGAGATGCAGTCCTCACATTCTGCAGGAAGTTCATGACAAGCCTTGGTGTCTTTCTGATTAGTCGGTTTATTTATAAAAGCATTAGTCGGAGCCTCTGATGACACACCCACTGCTCACTCATGGACCACCGGATGCTCGTTGCACACAAAAAAAGCAAAGCTTTCAATGGTCTCTAAAAATATATCTGTCTGTGGCTGCTTGTTACTTTTGGTTAGATGGATATTCAACAACTTTTCTTTATAACTTCTATGCCTTTTATTTCAGTGCATTGCTGCTTTGTTGCACCATGATGTTATCATAGTATTATCAGATTTATAACATCTAGAGGTGTTACGATTCACTTGTTTTCCCGATGCATTGATCACAAATGCTGCTGATCCATAAATTTTTGGATCGTGAGTTATTTGCTTCGGTCAAGAATTGATTTAAAATGCTAAAAATCGAACGAGTTGCGATTTGGGAAAGTATTATTCAATATTTTTAAATATATAAATAATTTACTTGATTTATGTAGCACACTATCATTTGCGTCCTCATGCACATACCATTGATAAAGTGGCCAAATTATTGCATGGCTACTACTACTGAAATAAAACGCTTTATTTTTATTGTCATATTGGTGCATGTAAATAAAACTTTAGTTAAATATTATATATAAATATATTTAATATTTTTTTAAAATATTTTTTGTCTTCGTTAAAACAAAAACTATGTAGAAAACATACCTTGATTATTCATTTAAAAATTATTTTGAATGTATGATTTTTATTTGCGTGAAAAATCACAGCTTTTTTTCAATAAGATAAAAAAAATATATATATATATTATTTTATTTTATTTTATTTATTTATTTATTTTTTTACAAAATGGGATCCGGAATACTTAGGTTTTCTCAGCACTAAAGTATTTTATCAGCTCATTGCACTCTGTTATATTCTAAGTAACATGTTTTACATGTATTTAATGTGTTCAGGTTTCTGGGTGCAATAAACATAAAGCCTTAAGAGGATAGCTCACCCAAAAAGGAAAATCTGTCATCATTTAGTCATCCTCAAGTTGTTCAAGTTTTTTTCTTCTAATCTTCTGCTGAACAGTGAACACAAAAGAAGATATTTTGTAGACTGTGGGTAACCAAACTGTTGACGATAGCCATTGACTTCTACAGTATGGGAAAAAAATATAGATGAATTTTCAGTTTTGGGTGAACTGTCCCTTTAAGTAGTTTTTTTTTCTTGCTTAAGACACATTGGGAGAAGTATTTACATAATCATATGAATGCACTTTAAAAAAATGTTTTATCAAATCTCATTGTGAATCGGATTGAATCAAATTGTTCTGAATCTGCAGAAATAGTTCCTGAATTGAACTGAAAACCTATGGATTGTAAATTGAATCGATTCACTTTCTCCCCAAATATTCACACCCCCTAACAACATTGTTATTATTATTATTGTCGCCCCTTGAATCCTGAGTTCAAGGGTTGAAGTTAAAGGGGTCATATGATGTTGCTAAAAAGAACATTATTTTGTGAATTTGGTGTAATGAAATGTGTTTAAGGTTCAAAAAACGCATTACTTTCCACATACTGTACATTATTGTTTCTCCTCTATGCCCCGCCTTTCTGAAACACGTCGATTTTTACAAAGCTCATCGTTCTGAAAAGCGAGGTGTGCTCTGATTGGCCAGCTATCCAGTGCATTGTGATTGGCTGAATACCTCAAGCGTGTGACGGAAATGTTACGCCCCTGACCATATTATGATGCCCTGTCCGGCCGGAGCGACGAGACAAAAACAATAAAACCCATTATAAATGAAGCATTTGTTGCATCCAGTGGGGACATAATTATGGATTATAATGACTTATACTGTCTTTTTATGCATTGCATCGCGCCACGTAAACATAAAACCATGTCTGCATTTGTGATCGGAGAAATGACAAACAACAAGCGCTACTCTACACTGCTCAAAACTCGCATTTGAATAGTCAGTGGCAAATTCTTTAAATATAGAAAACGTACTTACAGTCTGTGAGTCAGACACTCTCGCTTTGTGCTGTCAACACCAAAGAGCACATTTACATTTCTGAAAGCCCTCGTGGTGCTGATTCAGCATTCTTCTCATTCTCTGCCAGATCTTTGAACAATATTTTGATTAACTCCACATTTATGAAGATGTTGTGAAGTCTGGAGGGGGCTCTTTTCCCGTCTGTGCATGTACTCATATTTTCAGCACCTCTCTCTTTTTTCCTTCTCATTCTCTCCTCCATGAAGGTTGCAGAACTAATATCATCAGGCTGTTGAGTGAAGTAGAGCTCTAAACCTTCATTTGGATGCCTCTTGTTCCTGACTTGTGCTCCCATGAATCCACCTGTTTATTGCTTGCTTATTAAAGGTGATTCCTAAAGCAAGCATGACTTTTATTTTTGCTTAAACTTTGGGTGATGTTTTGAACAAACCTCTAATAATAACTAGTAAACTTTGGTTCGTAACTCATCCTGAACCACTTTTGTGCCACAGACATGAATGATTCCTCTAATCACAAGGCTTGTTGAGGAGATATAATGGATTGATGATTTATTCCTAGCAGACAAAAATCCCATTGATGGAGAAATTAGATTTTTGGGTTGGCCTGCTCATCATTTTGATAAAACATTCCTGATGTTGTGGAGCCAAACATCACACAGGTGAAACGTTGCATTACTATAGTATCTGTTAGATTTATTGTGGATTTGAGATTGATGACGCTCAGGTAAAGTCGTGAGTATGTGTGTTTGGAAAAGGCTTTTGTAAGAATTCTTCCTTTGGGGAATGTTATAAATCTGAGACTGATGAGCCGTATAAAGTGAATCTGGGACAACACACATTTGTAGCAGAAATGTTAGCTCTTCGCTGATGAACAATGGAAGGAGAGGCTCGCCAGTGTTGAGTCTGTGTGAGTGTGACTGACTGCAAGTGTGGGAAACCTGCTGCTGTGTCCAGATGTGAGTGTGTGTGTGTGTGTGTGGCTTCAGACAAACAGACAGAAGCACTTGCAAATCTAGTTTCCAAAGGAAATGTCTTTAGCAAGAATATATTCTATTCTATTCTATTCTATTCACCCAGTTCTATTCTGGTCTTATCTAGTTATTGTAGTTATTTGTATTTACACTACCTTTCAAAAGTTCAGGGTCAATAAGATGTTGCTAGGCTGCATTTATTTGATCAAAAATGCAGTAATATTGTGAAATATTATTGCAGTGTAAAATAACTGCTTTCTATTCGAATATGTTTTAAAGTGTAACTTATTCCTGTGAGTCAAAGCTGAATTTTCAGCATCATTACTCCAGTCTTCTGTGTCACATGATCCTTCAGAAACTGACACATTTTTTTCAGAATCCTTTGATGAATCGAAAGTTAGAACAGCATTTATAGAAATATAAATTTTTTTACTAACAGTGTAAATGTATGTAAACTATATATTTCAGTGCATACTTGCTGGGGAAAAAAAGGTTGCTCAGTTTTGTTCTATTCCATGTTCTATTCTTTTCTATTCACTCTGCACTTTTCTGTTCTATTCTGCGTTCTATTCTGCTCTGATCTATTGTATTTGTTCTATTCTGTTTCTATTCTATTTACTCTTTACTGTTCTATTCTGCCTGGTGTTCTATTGTAATTTTTTCTGTTATATTCTATATGTTCTGTTCTGCTCTTTTTCTTCAAATCTATTCTGTTTTGTATTGTTCTATCCACTTTGCTCTGTTCTATTCTCTTTTTTCTGTTTGTTTTTCTGTGCTTTTTTGTATTCTTCTACTCCAATATGCATTTTTATCATCTTGTGTTCATCAGGGCCAGGGAAGAGCAGGGCAGAGAGACAGATAAAAATAAATTCTATATGTTCTGTTCTGCTCTTTTTCTTCAAATCTATTCTGTTTTGTATTGTTCTATCCACTTTGCTCTGTTCTATTCTCTTTTTTCTGTTTGCTGTTTGTTTTTCTGTGCTTTTTTGTATTCTTCTACTCCAATATGCATTTTTATCATCTTGTGTTCATCAGGGCCAGGGAAGAGCAGGGCAGAGAGACAGATAAAAATAAATGAAGATGACTTTAGCATGAGACACAGCTCTGCCTCGCTGCTTGTTTGTGTCTCTCTCTCTTCTGTTCCTCTGTTTCTGCCTGATTCCCAGTGCCGGGTGGCCAGCGGTTCAGTGATGGAATGTGGGCTGCAGACTTTCACACAGGGTCAGGCCCAGACTTCAGACCTGAGTGAGGGAACCAGGGACGGCTTTTTACAGACACACTGACACAGGCTTGGGAAGGGAGAGATGTGTGGGTGTCATTGTCCAACTCTGGTCCCATAGTTCTTCCTTTTTGCTTCTTGTTTGTCTGGACAGACACTGTGAATGAAACTTCTTCCTTTTAGTTATTTCACCTCTTTCATTTTTGTGGTTTGGACCATCATTCACACACACACACACACACACACACACACACACACACACGACTAATTACACACTAAATAGGAAGATCACAGGACACATATTGAAACAAAGTTTGTTGCTTGCAGCCTTAAACTGACATTTTGTTATTGATTTATCACATTATGGTTCTGCTCCAAAGCCAAGTGAACTGCCTTGCTCTCTACTTCCAACATCAGGGTGACCATACATACTCTTTTTCATGGACATATCCTGGCCAGGATTTCTAAATAACCTAAAATATCTGGGATTTGGCTGTTTTCCTTTGTTGACATGCTTTCTACAGTCCTCATACAATCTATCTATCTATCTATCTATCTATCTATCTATCTATCTATCTATCTA